TTGGTATGCAAACCAACATCTTTTTATAGAAGTCTATATTTAGCTCTGATATGTTTTTATAAAATCATAATGGACAATCTTATCATCCCGTCATGTAAGTGTGTGAAACTGATAACCTTAAGGCAACTATTTTGAGATTTTACATCATATTAATAACCCCTGTAAGTTACAGCAAAGTGATAAAATACCTAGAGCTGCATACTACACATGCTGAGACCAACAAGCTGATGTCAATCACAGCTGCAGCGATGCAGAAGCAACACCCCGACCCATCAGGAGTGGCGTCCCCCCCCAATAGAGAAGAAGGCTGAACGCCAAGATAAAGGAAACATAACGAAACATTAGCCAACTGTCTGAGCAACAGAACAATGTGATGAAAAAAGGTCTTCCTGAGAAATACCATCAATATCTTGAGGGTGTAGAAAACAAGACCCAGAGCTCCGGCTGCCCACCTGAAAAAATACACCAAAGACGGCAGAGACAAGGAGAAGCAACAGGATGACTGATCTGAAGGTTATTATTCATGTTAGCGCTGTAGAGGAAATAAGCTGGAATGCAGAACTAAAATCCAAGCATTCTTTGAAGAAATGCACATCACTCACCACCTTTCTTGTCAGAGTTTTAAACAAAATTGTCAAATTAAAAAAAGACAGAGTTACAGTATACCCATTTTGATCAAACCTTGAACATAACTTTGTGTGCATTCAAACAAAGATCTTGCATCTGACTAGAATATGTGTTGGGGATGACTCAGCTACTAATACACAAAACTGACTGAGTTTGAGCCAATTTTGTGTTTTGTAAGGTCAATTGGCTGTGGCAGCCATCTTGAACTGAGCTAGGGGTGTAACAATACATCCAGATTAATACGTTGAAAGATAAAAAAAAAAACTGCTTCAAGGCAAAACAAAAACATTGATCATTTCGTTATCACCTGCCAGATGTGGATCAATATTATATGCCTATTTAACACAATCATTTAATGATTGTGTATATCCATTGCAGACTTGTGAATTGAATTGAATCAAAATTGTACCATGATAGAACTTGTGGCTAAAGCTTTTCCTCTGATTTCATCCCTCAGATTGCTGTGCGGTTCTGGATCAGAGTTCAGTGAAATTATCAATATTCTATTGGGCATATTTTCTTTTGAAAGTGATCAAGTGTTTGTTACAGTTTATATTGTTACTGATTTATTGCCCAGACTTAATCTGTCCTGTAGATCAGTGGTTCCCATCCTTTTTAGACTTGTGTGCTCCCTGAGCCATTTTGTCTTACAACTAGTACCCCCTCTGTCAAACGTAATGATGATTCTCCGAAACTATATTGTACAACAGCTGATTATTAAATGAAAATTATTTATTTAATCCCCTAGAACGTTTAATTCTCAGGCATTTTATTCTTTTCAATTCGAAATAAGCATAAAGATAAAAATGTTGCCTTGAAAGTGAATAAGTAATTAAATAAATAAACCATGTAATGGCAGGTGCAGGAAGCAGCAGCGTCCAAAATACATTAAATACCCCAGATGAGCAAATTCTGTGAGATACTTCATTTTATACAGGATTCCATTTCGTGTCAGTTTCATGATTCCGTTTGCATTTTGTAATATTGCGGAAATCATAGGGCCCTACATATCTCTGGCCTTTTTTTATTAAATTTTTTTTTTGCACAACTGGGAAATTTTTCCACGTACTCCCTGTATTATACTTGCGTACCTCTGTTTGGGAGTCACTGCTGTAGATTATGAGATATACTGGCAACACACTGTAGATGTTCACAAATAGAGGAAACGTGCAGGCTTTTATCAAATTTATACATTTTATCTATGACTTGTTCCTTTGCCAGTTTATTTTTCTCAGACAAAACTAAAGATTGCTTGTCACAGGCTGATGAGGCAGTCTGGTCCCTGAATGTGTCACAAATGTTAATGAGACGCCTGGTCAGACATCAACAAGTGTTCTGAAAGCCAGCCGACAGCAGGGACGTGGCGTGTCTCTAAGTGAATATGGCAGCTCTGTTCCCCAAAGATTTCATGTATTCCTCTTTTCCAAAGATCTGAGCATCATGGAGTCTTTTAACACACCTCGTCTTTACAACTTGGAAAGTTTTAAAGGAGACCAATTATGGGTCCTAGAAATTTTTATGGTATGTCTGTGGGCTATCCAGACCATGTTCATTCAATTTAATGCACAAAATAATTCTCAGATAATAAAATTTYCCATTTTCTAATTTTGCCTGCCCTGACTTCTGTTCAGAAGCGCTGTTTATGTTAATGAGCTCTGTTGGTAACGCCCTCCAAAAATCTGTTGACTTTAACTCCGCCCTCCAAAGCCAGCGTTTACATTAGCATGGCTAATAATGGCAGAAGCTCCGTTGTACAACCATATGAGACCCTGTGAGACCCAGAGGCAGAGTCGTGGTCGCAGCTTCTTTCTTTTTTTTTCTCTCCCTCCTCTGCTCTGCGCTCACTCTGCATGCTGTTACCAGAGCAGGGAGCAGCAGCGGTCAAAATACCTCAGAAACTCGAACAAATGGGCTTTAACAAGGCTTTAATAAGCTAAATAATAGAGGTACATGAGAAAAYGTGTTCATAACGAACAAAATAAATAAATAATTAAATTGTGTCCGTGCTGCTCTCAAAACCTGGTCTCCCACTCTCTGGTCTAACACTCTACCATTACCCTATTGGAGACTTGCTGTGAAGTGAGCTGTGCATTGCATAACAATACCATGATGGCTTTTTATACTGAGGAGGTGGAGCTTCACCCGGGGGTTGCTAAGTAAGGGGCTGAACGCAGGTTCAGGTGGGTTGTCAAATGGCTTGTGACATCACAAAATGACGGAAGTATAAAACTTGTCGTTAAAATACATTAAAAATACTTTTACTTACAGTAAATATGCCCCTGGGTGCATTTTTTGGTCCTAGGACTGTTTTTTAAGAAGTACATACCCAAAGTTGAGTAAAAAAAACCTTTAAAAAGTGAATTTTGCATAATAGTTCCCCTTTAAATATCCGCCCAGAATATTGATGCTCCGTAAACTTGGTTCAGTCCAGCGCATTAGCTGCAAACAGTCCACTAAAGGCTCCTAACTCCTGTGAGTGTCTCATCCTCCTTGCATGGGCCTTTTTCATGGAGCCGTGGCCCTGATCACATCAGACAGCGCCCTCACTCAGACATATACACCACTCCACAGCGTTACGTTCAATCACACTGTCTGAGCAGCTTTCAGCGCTCTGAAGTGCACTCCACAGTGGAGTTTGCAGCATGAGGATTGACAATCAGTGCATCTGCTAGAGAACAGAGAGGGGGTTAATGAGATTTCCCCTCCTGGTCTCTTAGTCATTTTTTTAACCACAGACACGTCGAGTTTAATAATCTATGCTTGAACATGACATCTGTTGTGGCTTGTTACTTTTTGCAACTCAAAAGATCAAATGCTTTTATCAGAGTTTCTGATATGGTTTTACTGGGTAGTTTTTTGCTGATGCACAGCAGCTTTCTGCACCACTGAAGGAAATGCTATTTGACTAACAACCAATTTAGAAGTCACGAAGAAGAAAATGCTGTGTGTTGTTATGCATTTGACCCAACATACATGAGATACACACAAGTGGAGCAGCTATTTAAGAACCCAGGGAGTAGTTAGGGAATAGGTGCGACAAATGGGCATAAATCAAACTTGTGATTTTCCAGTCCCAAGACAGCTGTAACATTTATTAACATTGACTTATTTTCCCCCTCCAACTAAACTTACCCATAGTCTTTAAAACTACTGTATGCATAAAGGTTTACCAAAAATAGTTTAAAATCGGAATAACAGATTTAAAATAAACTGCGCAGGAGCTGGCGTGAAGCTCTGATTTTCCACCTTGCTGTTCAAATAAGTTTGACTCGGCAGCACACAGCCCTAATCAGTGGCATCAAAACAATCATTAACCAGCCTCCTGCCGCCTCCCTCTCAGCACACAACTCAGGACGAGACTGCAGACAACAACTCCTCGTCCTCACCTCTCAYGCCCCGGGTTCCTCACCGAGCTCAAAAATACAAACAGAACCCGCTGTGTGGCATTTAGAACAGGCAGAAACACAGCTTCAAACTGTAACCAAAAACATGCTCATAGCACAAAATGTTCAGAACAGCCGATTTTTTATGTTGTTGTCAATGATCTCCTGTTTTACTCCTGAGGCGGACCATGAACTTCTCTGCTGTTTGTATATTTTTCATGCTTTTACACAACTTCTCTATAAGTAGGACTGTGGGATCTACATGGGTTAAAATGCAAGTAAATGCTTTATTTTAGAGTTTTATCCACATATTTTGTGCTTCAGCTGACACTTTGCACACCTGACTTCAGAACAAGTGTTGGAAACTAATCATGCTGACAAAGACTGAACAGCAAAGTTGATAAAACTTTAGTTTTACAGTTTATGAAATCCGTACACAAAGACCAATTTTTCTCACATTTTTAAACTTAAATAAAATCACATGAACAAAATTTGACAGTGAAATATAGCTACGTAATTTAATTCATCACTGTACTGCATTATTTAGCTTAAACGTTCTATTTTTCATTCTTCCGTGGTTATCGAGAGCAAACAGTAAAACAGTAAACAACAGGTTTTCAGCAGCAAAGCACCAATCTCCTCTGTGTTTATACTGGTTCCCTAACTGTGCAAAGGTTATAAACCCAAGCTATTGGATGTAATGTGAGCACTGCTCTCCCATAGGTTAGGAGGTTACAAAAGCACCACCGATAGGCTGCGTCTGAATGGTGTCAGGAGGAAGCCATCTGCTCCTGTTTATGGTCCATTAACCCTGCTACCCCTGGATACTCAGACTGCCCCCACAGCAACAGGTTCAAGAGGCCAAAGATGAGATTTAGATGTTGCTAGTATCAAAGAAAAGATGACTGCTCACTGCATGTTTTAGGCTTTAGTGCGTTTCGCCCATGTTTTCACAGTTAGGTTACGGATAAGTGACTGGAAAGTCCTTACCTTCCCAGAAGTTGGTAGGCATACTGAGAGTCCGCCAGCAGTAATGCGATCTCACCCTTCTGCATGGACATGACACACTCCTCCAGAGCCTACAGTGTCAAGAAACACACTTCTTGGAACACTCACTGGACAAGTTCCACAGGCAGCTTATTGCATCGTTGAACAAAAAAACACATTTGAATTTAACTTTGTGAGATAAATTTCATTAAATTGGCTGAAGTATTAGATAATATACTGATGGTTTTTTGTAAGGTCTTAGGTGGGACTCTCAGTCCACATTTTTAGTAAAAAAAACAGTATAACACTAAAAAAATTACATGGACATTACAACGTTACATGAAGGAGTAATGTTTTAACTTATAAGGTCTTTTTTAAGCTCAAGATTATTGCACATTGATTTTGAAAACAGCTCAAAGCATAGAGATTTAATAAGATTCGCAAAGTGTGCAAACATTTTTTAAGCTTTTTGGTCTACACTTCCAACCCAACACGACATCATCGTGAAGAATTGCTGTTTTTTCAAGGAGTAAAGGCAATAAGTATAAAGTGATATGCACCATTATTGAAACTGAATCAAATCAAGCTGCACTGTATTGAGAATCATATTGTATCGTTAGCTCTGTATCGAATGGCCATGTCCTAGGAGCTTTGCATTATTTGTAATTGTCTCATTTTGGGCTATAAAGAGGTAAACAGCTGCAGTATTCATCTTAGCGTGATTTGTAATCTTTGGTGAGTAGTTCCAAACTTCCTCAGCATCAACTTGCCCTTGTTGTTTTGTGGGGATTAGAAAATCAAAAGGGCGATCATCACTCTAATGTTAGCACTGCGAGCTTTCTGCTAACATTTAATATTTCCAGGCCCACAACGTCACTAATGGGTGTGTAGTTTGGTTGACCCATTTCTGTTCGTCAGTGTGAGATGATACGTCAACCAAAGGAAATTTAAAAAAAAGAAACACAATAATGCTGAAGATCCTGTTAAAAAGTATCACCTGAATAACATCGCTCTCTCCAATCACAAAGACTAGCTTGCAGTCCTTCTCCACCACAGTGCGATCCTCGAGAACGCCTTGCAGCCTCACGGTGACCTCCTGACCCCAAGATGGCAGCGGGACTTGTGCATCACCAGGTTCGAGCACTTTTTTCCTCAATAACCGGTCCTCTGCATTGGGGTGGAGGAAAAAATGCTAACTGTACGTACGCATTGAAGCAGCAACAGAGCCAATAATTCCATGACATGATGGTCTATTTTAGTCTTTTTATTATTGTGATTTCAGCTAAACTATAATTGAGAGGATTATTGATATTTTCAGGGTTAACCTGCTGAAGTCAACATTAACGTTCGTACAGGAAACTTGTTCTCTCACCTGTGATGTTCTTCCAATCTTCAGCTGCAAACAGCTCCTCAAAGGAAGTAGTCGTCCACTCCTTTATGGCATATTCTGGGAAGAGAATCTCTGCCGAGCTGTCCCACTCCGACACGTCATCTTCAGTCGAAGGGTCTTGAAACCGCACCATCTTCCAGCTGTTTGTTTCCTTCGGTTTCCTTCGCTCCTTGCATTCTGTCTTTCTGCCCTCCTGCTCAGAATGAGCTGAGCTTTTTATCTCAGTGCCTTTGCTTTGCTCTGCACAAACATTAGCATCGAGCTGCTCTTTCCCACAAGGTTTCTCGCCTGGCAGCTCGTTCAAAGAGTCACCATCAGAAAGTTTAGAAGTGGTCTCTCTTACCTCGGGTTCTACACGGTCCTCTGTGCAACATGTCTCCATTTCTCTACAGAGCCTTGAACACCATCTGCCTTAGTCCCCAAAAACAGATGATCCTCTTTGCTCAGCTGATTCACTGAGACACAAGTAAGTTGTTCTCCCTCACACACCTACACTTTGTTTCAACAAAAGAACATCATCACAATGTCACATTTCCAGTAATCCACGCTGTGCTTCAGTAAATCCATCGCAGAATGCATCCCTAAATTAAACCTTCATCTTTAACTTTTGAAACAAGGTTCCACCTGCAGCTGTGCAAAACCCACCGTCGCACTTTGACCCCTTCTCCTAACAGCCTCTATCCATCTTTGTCGACTTCATTCAGCAATGCAACGGCAACCAAAAAAGGATCAATGTAAAGAAGCTGTGCAGCACAAACGAAGCGCTCGCAGCCATCAGGGTTGTGCAGTGGTAATCTACAGGATTAGAGGGGGGGGGGGGGAGGGCATAATCTGCCAGAACGTCTGTAAGCTTCTTAATGACTTCACTGTCCTGCTGAATAACACTGTTTCCATGTGTGCAATATTATGATATCTGCCACTAAGATCAATGGAGAGAGGTGTTTTAAGTTAGTTTACTTGGAGCCACACTGGGAGGTATTTATTTTCTCTTTTTAGGAAGGATCACACGACTCATTAAGCTACAGCAGCTGAACGGCTGTAGTGAAAACACAATAACACTAGCATTTCAACATTTCTAGTACACTTTTAATTTGTCTTTTAAAACTATAAGGAATTATTTTTTTAATTAAGCAACTTTAATTAGTTCTTGACAGTGTAATTAAATGTGTATTTAATCAGTTTTTTGAACAGTGCACATTATTTTTCACTTCAGTACAACTCAGAATACAACAAAGATGAACACTAGTTACTTGTTTTTCTCTAAACATGTTATTGCAATTTCTTAAAAGAAGACTGTCATAGCTGACTTGTTTCTTCAGGTTTACAGGTGCTGGTCATAAAATTAGAATATCATGAAAAAGTAGATTTATTTCAGTAATTCCATTTAAAAAGTGAAACTTGTATATTATATTCATA